CCTATGGACTCTCGGTTGCCTCCTCTAGCCCTTTGAGACACATGCATTCTATCAGCTTCTGGAAATGTCTGTGGGAAGGCTGCTGGGACAGATAAGCGGTGGGGTCAAGGAGGTTATAGGGGTGTATGTGTGTGCATTTGAGGAAGTCTCTGACCTTCCCGAGGTAGGGTCATTCCCAGGGGTCAGAAGCTCACATGGTCAAACTCGAGGCCAAATGTGCTTCCCGAAGCCAATATTAGAAGTTTTTGAACTGACAGCTTGCTGGTCATCCCAGCCCACCCTCTGTCAGCACGGGGCAAGAGCCAACAGGAACTGTTTTATGTTTGTCTGGCATCATTCTACCCAGAAAGTGGCCTGGGGCTGCTCTTGGGTGAGGGAGGAGGAGGAAGCAGAAGCCGATGATGGGGAGGCCAGCGGAGTGAGGACTCCCGGGCAAGCCCACCAATTTGTCAACCTCAGTTACCCATCAACCTCTTCCTTGTCTCATGCCCTGGGGTGGCAGTTTGGTGCCCTCCACTGCCTTCTAGCACCCACTCTCCCCCTGCCCTGGGCAGTCAATCACTCGAGAGGTGTGGTATGGTAGACAGAAGTTGGGGTTCTTGCAGGTGAGTTATCTCATGACTGTGAGGAGCAGAGGTGAGCACGTTTCAGGGCATGAGTTCAGCAAACAGCAGCCTAAGTGAGGGACAGGTGCGTCCTTGTCTCTGCTGTCACCGCGAGCCTCCCATGGAGGAGGGGATGCAGGGCCTGCAGTACTGCTCCCACTTCACAGAAGGAAATGCAGACCCACTGACCCGAGACACACCTGCAGGTGGAAGGCAGCTCAGGGCCAGACCAGCCTGCGTTACCCCCTATGTCACCATTGGGGTGCGGAGGGTAGGGTGGGGTGCATCCTCTGGGGCTGGATCACCTCCCCCACCTCCTAGGGTATTAGCAGTGATGCAGGAGACATGAGGGTCCAGTGGTGGCAGGAGGCTGCCCCCGGGCATCTGCCCACTTTGTGTGTCCCTGGGGAGCCGGGAGAGGATGGCCACGAGCGCCGGATGCTGCCCCTGCGCCCCCTCTAGGTGTGCCGGCTGCTGGCCTCTGTTCGGACCTAGTTTCTGCTGAGCGGTGGTTTAGGGTAAGCTCACGTCCTCAGGGCTCAGTTGGATGGATCTTAACACACTCGCACCGTTTTAAGTTCTATCCCTTTCTATCCTCCCGAGGATGGAGTTTGGCATGAGGACGGGAGAGGCCTCGATGGCCTGGCTTCTCTGTACCTGTCCCCAGTCCTGGTTTCCCTTCCCTGGGCAGTGCGGTGGGCATGGAGCCTGGGGCTCCCTGCTTTCAAGGAGTCTTACCGTGCGCAGGAGGGCATTCAGCGACACCCCAGCCTGGGCAAGCAAACGCCGAAACAGACACTGTGGGGGACAGGGGTGCAGGAGGGGCTCAGAGGCGCCTGGAGGAGGCAGGTGTGGTGCCTTCAGAGGGGATGACTTGAGTGCAGCCTTGAGTGAATGAGTAGGGGGCTTGTAGGAGGCTGAAGGTGAACGAATGACCTTGGGGGATGACCCGGGCCCCTCCCACTGCTGATGCCCCAGTCCCCCTGGCTGGGACTCGGAGGAGCCCCAGGGCGCCCCTCCGGGGACACCCAGGAGGAGGCCCTGAGCGGATACTCCGCTGTGCTCCCCAGGCCCCTGTGGGACAGGTCTCCTTGCTGGTCCTCTTTCCGGGGTGCAGACATTCTCACATTCCCTCCAGCTCTAGGCACCTGTGAGAGCAGCAGCTCTGTGAACAGGAAGCCTCAGGAGCCCTCTGGGGGACAGACTGCGCACTCAGGCCTCTGGCCTGGACCGCCACCCAGCTGCTCACCCACATTTCCATCTCTGTCTAGAACACAGCGTGTCCAGGGCCAAGCAAGGGAGTGTGTTATGGGCCACGACTAGCTGGTTGGATGTGACCTTGGGGCTATGGAATGCACTGGAATAGGGGTTTGCCAAGCTGCTTGGGTCCCTGGAGGGTCCGGCCATGCGGGAGTGGGTTCCTTTGAGATGGGCAGGCAGGTGGGTGCAGGCGGTCCCAGGGAGTCCAGAGGAGTGGCAGGCGGGTTCCAGATGCTTCCAGTTCCTGGTCTTCCTTCCCCGCTGCGCTTCCCCCACTGCTTCTCATTCCCTGTTACCCTTTTACCTCCAGGGATCCCCGAAGATATTAACCCTCTGGAGACGAAGCACCTGGCACATAGCAGGTGCTGGGTCCCCCCTCCCCTCTCATTACGGACTCCCCCAACTGTCAGCTCCTCTTCTACAACAGCCAGTCATGTGGCCGCTTCCTGCTGGTCAGCCCTCGGTTCCCAGCCTCTTGGCCACGCTTGAGGGGCACCCACAGTGCGGGAGGGGTCTTGAGCTCCAGAAAGGAAGAGGGAGAGGGGTGGGAGCCACCGACTGCCCCGGGGAGAGGGCAGTTCTGGGACTGTGAAGGATTGGAAAGGGAAGTTCTGCCAAGAGGCCTCACAGCTAAATGGCCCCCAAGTCTTTTCTGGGGCCCCTGCCTTTCACGGGACTCAATGCAGTGGCTGCTGCTACCATGTCCGCCCAGAGAGTCCCCATTCCGCGCTGTCCACCCTTGTCCCTCGGACCTCCGAGCATGTGCGTCCACACTGGGAAAAGGCTCAGAACTTGATGAAAGGTCCTGCGGTTGTAGGACTTCCCTGCACACCTCAACCCTGAGAAAGGGAGCTCAGGCCTGGGGCTCTCAGGCTTGTCTTCCCCTAAATCATGTAGACATGTGGTTATTAGGGTGTGATGGGGAAAGTATCACTTCCCTAATCTTCTGACATCGTGTGGCAATTTTTTAAAAAGATTTTATTTATTTTAGAGAGTAAGCACGAGGAGGGGCAGAGGGACAGGGAGACAAGAGAATCTTGAGCAGGCTCCACACTCAGCACAGATCCCGACATGGGGCTCGATCTCACGACCCTGGGATCATGACCTGAGGTTGGACTGAGCCACCCAGGTGCCCCTCGTGTGGCAATTATGCATCATTTCACTTCTTCCTTCATGTCTGTGGACCCATTGGGGTGAGCAGGGTGGATGCAGCAGGGACTGAGACCCCTGCCTTCCTCCTCCAGGAGTCCAGATGTTTCTCTGTGATCCTAAGAGGAGTCGCACCCCACAGACTTGTGAAGCACATCTCTCTTTCCCTATTGAACCCTATTTTCCTGTTGCCATTCTTTCTTGTTTTCTTTAATTTTTAATTTTTTTTTAATGTATTAAATAGGCTCCAGCATGGAGCCCAAGGTGGGGCTTGAATTCACAACCCTGAGATCTGAGGCGAGATCAAGAATTGGATGCTTAACCGGATGAGCCACCCAGGCACTCCTCTATTGCCTTCCATTAGAGTGAAGATGTATTCCCTTGGGGAAAGGCTGACCTAACAACATTATTACCTCCCATTCGAGTATTTTTATAATTATTATACTGTTTACTACCACAGATCAGCTGTGATCACTGACATTTTGCTGGAGCCACATATTTTACCGACAATTGTGCCAGCACCAAGTGGACAAGCCACAGGAGATCCTAGTCTCCTGCTTCTCGGTCTGGTGGGTCCCCCTCCTAACCTTGACATTCGAGACCATAGCAGTGCCTTTTGGTGGTTAAATTGGAAAAGGTGCACCTCTGGGGAGAGTTGATAATTATTAGACTAAGTACACCACCAAGGATGACACCTCTCCTACAGTCTCCTGTTCCATTCAAGATCTTGATCTTGGAGCTTCACGAGTCTTTTCTTTTCTTTTTTTTTTTAAGATTTTATTTATTTATTCATGAGAGACACAGAGAGAGAGGGAGAGAGGCAGAGACACAGGCAGAGGGAGAAGCAGGCTCCATGCAGGGAGCCCGACGTGGGACTCGATCCTGGGACCCTAGAATCATGCCCTGGGCCGAAGGCAGACGTTCAACCACTGAGCCACCCAGGCGTCCCTTCATGAGTCTTTTACTTTATGACTGCATTGTCCTAGAAATTCTTCTGGTGCCTACCTAACTCCGTGCTTGGAACCTTGCAAAGGAGAATGGGCGAGTCTTTTTGGTTCCCTTGTACCTTCCTGGGAAAGGTGCTCCTGTGGCCAGAAGGGAGCAGGAAAGTGAAAACGCCCCAAGGAGCAGGGGAGGAAGGGCATTCTTGGGCCTCCAGAGCTAGTGCAGGGCTCCCTCTGGGTGGTACTGGGAATGAGTAACCACAAGCTCTCAGATGACATGTCACACGATAGGACTGGTTTCCTATGCTCATGTGGCCACACTGTGCAAGCTGAGGGCACTCATCACAAGGATGTGTGTGTGTGTGTGTGTGTGTGTGTGTGTGTGTGTGCGCGCGCACTTGTGTTTGGAGTCTAAGCTCCAGGTGAACCAGGGTGAGAGGGGTCCCTGCAAGTTTGCTGAGTCCCCACTATGTGCCCAGCCCTGAGCTGGGACCACTACAAACTGCATAGGAGGGAAGGTCACAGCCTGAGGACATGCGTCCAAGACTAAGAATCACTGGGACTCTGAGGTCCCTGTGCCAGCTTGGGGGTCTGGGCCTTGAGCTGCGGGCTCATAGTAGGGGAGCGCTCTGGGGCGGCCTCACTGCAGGTGCCACCAGGCCTGGAGAAGGACACTGGCCCTGGCTCCACCCCACTGGCTCCTCACCCTGACCGCAAGGAAACCAGAGGAATTACTGTGCCCAGAAGGAAGGAAACTGGGCCCTGTGGTCTTGGGGCTGTGATGGAGGGGGGAAGGGTGCAGGCCTATGCCACTTGGGGGAGCAGGAGGGCTCTCGGCACTGGAAATGCCTGTGGGATCTGTGACACAGCTGGGATGGGTAGGATGGGGCATGGGTCCTGTGGGGCTCGCCCGTCACCGTCCCCAGAGGCTTTGCTCCCTCGGTGCCCTTCACTTTCTGACCAGCTCTAGGAATAGAATCTAAAGATACTGAACAAGGAAGCAACCGGCATGAAGAAAAGCAGAAGTGGAAGCCTTGGAGACTTGGCCCTCCTCCTCCTCGAAGCCGCCCCGAAGTCGCCTGGGTCTGCTGCAGGTGACATCTGTTCCAGAGAGATGGTCTGGCACGGCCGGGTTGCATGGCTGCCTTGGGCTCTGCTGCTTCTCTGGGTCCCAGGTGAGGGGCTGGGGAGGCAGCTGGGGTGGGTGGGTGGGTGGGGAGGTCGTGAGGGGCAGGGCTGCAGGGGAGGCGGCGGTCCCCCAGACCTCTGAGCGGGGTGCGCTCTGTCCAGCACAGATGTGGACGGATGGAAGGGCTGCACCCTGGAGGGGCCAGACGAGGCCCAGGTCATCCACCTGACCTTCCATGGGCCACAGCGGGTGCCCCGATGGGCTTTGTGGGAAGTTTCAGATGAATTATTACAGGAAGAAGGAGGAGAGGGCAGGTGGCAGCAGAGTGGGTAGGAGAGGGCCCCAGAGGCCACTGAGGGGAGGGACCCGGTCTTGTGCAGGGAGGGCTGGGGACTGGCAGGAGCAGGCTGTGATGGGGAGGGGCCGGGCCTGAGGGCCAGGGTCTCCTGTCTCCCCAAGGCAGGGAGGTGGGGACAGAGCAGAGAAGGTGGTGGGAGTGAAGGGGAGGGCAGAGAAGCCACGGGGAGGGAAGAGATGGAGGGCTGCTGCTCCTTCTTCTTCTTCTTTTTTCTTTTTTTTGGTAAAGATTTTATTTATTTATTCATGAGAGACACACAGAGAGAGGCAGGGACGCAGGCAGAGGGAGACGCAGGCTCCTTGCAGGGAGCCCGATGCGGGACTCGATCCCAGGACCCTGAGATCACACCCTGAGACAAAGGCAGACACTCAACCCCTGAGCCACCCGGGCGTCCCGGGATTTAGGGCTTCTCCAGGGAGCAGGGGCTTCCTGTTTCTGGGGATCTGGCCTCTGAGCCCCCCAGGTGCTCTCCGCACACCGGCGGGCCAGCCTTGGCAGGTCTGTCCCTGGGGTACTTAAATTCCTTTTGGTTGTTTTGGTTATAAATTGCACATTTTCTTCGACTCTGTTTGCTGACTAGTGGTCCACGGGTAAGCTATTGCTTTTGTGTATTAATTTGGAGGCGGTCACCCCAGCACGGCTAGTCTGGTTCTTACCCACTCCAGGGAGTCCTTGTGTTTTCCTGGGGTCTGCCTACATGGGAGTTTGTCATTCCTTCTGGATATCCGTCTGTCTCGTTTGTTTCTCTCATTGGCCACAGGCTGGCATGGCCAGAATGATGCCCACGACGGAGGGTGGCAAAGCCATCCCTGCTTTGTCCCTGGTGAGGGCAGGTGTCCAGTGTTTCCCATTAAGTGTAAAGAAGGCATCCACTTGTGCCTCTTTGGAAGACTTTTTTTGTTTTGTTGCTTGTTTCTTTTTAAAGATTTTATTTATTTATTCATGAGAATAATCCCACTGGTAGGCGTCCCTACAAGATGTTTTTAAAAATGGTAGCAATGGGTGTTGGATCCTTTCACACTATCTATGCAGATGATTATTTTTTCTTCTTTTTATTTTATTTCTTATTTTGGTTTTTCTTCTTTGATCTATTAAGGTGATGAATTCTATTAAGAAATTCAGGGGGCAGCCCGGGTAGCTCAGTGAGTTAGCACCACCTCCAGCCCAGCATGTGATCCTGGAGACCTGGGATCGAGTCCCTGGAGCCTGCCTCTCCCTCGGCCTGTGTCTCTGCCTCTCTCTCTCTCTCTCTCTCTCTCTCTCTCTCTCTCTCTCTGTCTCTCATGAATAAATAAATAAAATCTTTAAAAAAAAAAGAAATTCAGGGACGCCTGAGTGGAGTTCGAGGCGCCTCTGCCCCTCTCTCTCTTTCTCTCTCTCTTTCTGTGTCTCTCATGAATAAATAAATAAAATCTTAAAAAAAAGAAGAAATTCAGCTGCATCTTAGTCTCAATGTATCATGCTGTCTTCATGAAAGGAATTAGGGAGGTTTTCCTGCTTCTATATTCTCTATAAATGTGCAAATGCAGTTGAAATTATTTGTTCCTTGAAGGTGTGAGAGAACTAACTTACGAAACTGTCCAGGTTTTATTCTTTTTGTTTTTTGAAAGACAGAAGTTTTTTGTTTTTTTTTTGTTTGTTTCTTTTTGCATTTCCTCTCAGCTTTATTGAGGTATAAATAAAAACTGTGGATGTTTATGGTGCACAATATGATTTTTTTCCTTTTTAAAAAATATTTTTATTTATGTATTCATGAGAGACACAGAGAGAGAGAGGCAGAGACACAGGCAGAGGGAGAAGCAGGCTCCATGCAGGGAGCCCGACGTGGGACTCGATCCCGGGACCCCAGGATCATGCCCTGGGCCGAAGGCAGATGCTCAACTGCTGAGCTACCCAGGCGTCCCCCCTGTGATGTTTTGATATATACTGCACCTCACACATCACCAGGAAAGGTCTCCTTGATCATATGCATCTTCACTTGATAATATATATATTCACAAAAATATATATATATTTCAGACCAATATTGGTAATTTATATTTTCCTAAATATAGAAAAATCATCGGTTTCATCTAAGTTTACAGACTTATTGGTAGAGGTTTTCCAATAACCCTGGTTATTCTTCTTATACATTGTGTATGTGTTTCTCTTGTTTTTCTTGATTTGGCTACCGCTAGAATGTTTGTCTCTCCCATTTGAAAAATCAGTTTTCCAATGTATATGCTAATTCCACTGTTTTCTGTTCCCTAACTCCCTAATTTCTTTTTTAAAATATATATATATTTTTATTGAAGTTCGATTTGCCAATATAGAGTATCACACCCAGTGCTCATCCCATCAAGTGCCCCCCTCAGTGCCCGTCACCCAGTCACCCCACCCCCCTGCCCGCCTCCCCTTCCACCACCCCTTGTTCGTTTCCCAGACCTAGCTCCCTAATTTCTGTTCCAACCTTATTCTTTCTTCCCAGGTAGGGGGTACATGCATGTGTTCCTCTCCCGACTTCCTGAGTTGGGGGGTTCTCTTGTTCATCTGGGCTTTACTGGGGTTTATTGAGATTAGACCTCATGCCCTGAGCAGCCAGAAAGGAGGTTGAGGTCTGGAGGAAGGGGCTGCTGTGATAAAAGAAATTTTGGGGGTGACAGAAGAGGAAGGGGAGGTTCTGGATGGGGGTGGCTGATGCGAGATGGGGCAACTTTGGTGGGTGACGCCCATGGCGCCCCTGACCCAGGCCCGTCTGCTGAGGGGCCACACTCGGCTGTGTTTTCCAGGCTGTTCGTCTCTGCGTGGCCCTGACTCCGTGTCAGGCACCGTGGGGGGATCCCTGAGTGTGTGGTGTCAGTACAAGGAGGAATTCAGAGACCATGACAAATACTGGTGCAAAAGCCCATGTGTGTGGAAGAAGATCGTGGAGACCACAGAGTCACAGAGAAAAGTGACGAAAGGCCGCGTGTCCATCAGGGACCATCCTGCAAACCTCACCTTCACAGTGACCTTGAAGAGCCTCACAGTTGGCGATGCAGGAACATACAAGTGTGGGATCAACACACCGTGGTTTGACCCCACCTTCTCCGTTATGGTGTCTGTGAACCCAGGTGAGCTGCGCACACACACCTGCCCCCTAGTACCAGTACCTGGGCTGCCTGAAGGGTCTCAGGTTGGAATGGCTGCTACGAGATTGTGCATGTGTGTGTGTGTGTGTGTGTGTGTGTGTGTGTGTGTCTGTGTAGGAGGAGGAGACAGAGAGTCAGGGAGGCTTCCTGGAGGAGCTGGCCCTTTGGCTTAATCTTGAGAAGGGGCTGTCAAGAAGGCAAGGTGTACAAAGATGAGAGGGAGAGCGCTGGTGCCAGCCCTGTGGACACCCAGAGCCGCGCTGCAGGCAGGTGGGAGCTGAGTGGAGAGGCAGGTGGTGCCAGGCGGTGAAGGTGCTGGGTGCAGCATCCAGCCAGGATGGTCAGGTTTGCAGGTTAGACAGAGGTCTCAGGCAGGCAGCTTGTGGCTGTGGCCAGAGGGGGATGAAGCTGGAGTGCAGGGGTGACCAAGGGGCTCTCCCGAGGTCCTGACCCTCCTCCGCAGGACGGAATCAGGACTGTTGAGTGCGAGCAGTGCAGTGCCCATGTCCCTTCTGGAAATGCTCACTTGGCTCAGGAGGGCCCTGGGGAGACTTTGCCCCCGGATCCTCCATCCTTGCCCCTGCCTTGAGTGAGCATTTTGTGTGAAATCAAACCAAAAATGTATTGGCAAGTAGTGAGTGGGAGAGTCCGAGAGAGCTATCCGGGCTCTGATTTGTGTTTCCACGCCAGCAACAATGTCTACCTCATCTGCCAGCATCACTGTAACTCAGATCTCGACAATCACAGCTGAAATGAAGACCAAGTCGTACTGGTCCTCCTCATCCCCTGCCCCGACCATCACGGGAGCCACCCACAGTGCAAGCAGCCAGGAGGAATTGCAGCCAAGTCAGAGCCTGGGGTAAGGTGCCCTGTCCCCTGTCCCCAGTCCTGGAGCTGGGCTCTCTCCTCAGGAGTCGCTCAGGGCCAGGGAGAAGCCGAGATGGCAATGGAAGGTAAAGGGACTTCTAATAAGGGCTGATGGTCCTACCAGGCAGGTGCTAAATGTCCTACATGCATGTTCTCATCTCACTAGAACTTTGACATTACCAGCCTCATGTTCCAGAGGAGGAGACAGGGGCTCAGAGAGGTTAAGCGGCTTGCCGGGTCCCGTAGTTAGGAGAGGCAGGCTGGTCTTCAGCCCAGGCTATATGATGCAGAGTCTTGGGTTCTTCCTCCAAACTTCTGATTCTTGATCTTTTGGAGCACAAACCCCCAGGAGAATCCCACAATGCTTAAAGACTCTCCAGAAAAACTCGTACAGTTGTAAACCATTTTCTGAGGTTCCCAGACTCCTTTTCCCGGCATCACCTTGTGCACTGTGATTCAGCTCTGGCACTGACCACATGGAGTTAGCAAAGGTCCCGAAGGCTGGGGGCTCAGCCCCATAAGACTGCCTGGCTTTAGAAGCCAGAGCACTTTGGGGAATCCCCTGGCCATCACATTTCCGGCCAACTGGCTATGAATTTGGAGGTTTCCATGACCCCCTTGGGTTTGATGATTGGCTAGATAGCTCACAGAATGCAAGAGAGCACTGTACTTACAAATATGCTTTTATCATAAAGGATAAATAAGGACCAGTATCAGACAATGAAGAGACATATAGGGTATGGTCTAGAAGGTGGAACCTGAGCACAGAGCTTCCCTGTTGACTCCCGGGGGAGTTGGGGCTCGACACCCACCTTGGGCATTGATGTGCTCACCAGCCAGGAAGCTCCTCCAGGTTTTGGTGCCTAGAATTCTTGCTGGGGGTCCATTATACAGGTGTGATTGGTTGAATCATTGGCCACGTGATTGAACTCAGTCCCAGCCCCTGTGGATCTGCTCCCTGAATTTCAGGTTTCTATAATCGTGGGGTTGGTTCTTCTGGTGCCCAGCCCCAACCCTGGCTCACCTCATCTCTTAGCATAAACTCAAGTGTCATGCAAGGGGTTCTTGAATTACAAAGGCATGCCTACTATTAGGGAATTCTCAGGGATTTAGAGCCTCATCTCCAGGAGCCAGGGCAAAGCCTATTCAGATTATTTATTTATCTATTTATTATTTATTATTTTATTTATTTATTCATGAGAGACACACAGAGAGAGGCAGAGACACAGGCAGAGAGAGAAGCAGGCTCCACGCAGTGAGCCCGATGTGGGGCTGGATCCCAGGACTCCTGGGACCACGCCCTGGGCCGAAGGCAGACACTCAACTGCTGAGCCAACCAGGCGTCCCCAGATTTTTTTTTTTAAGTAATCTCCACACCCAACATGCGGCTCAAACTCAAGACACTGAAATCAAGAGTCTCGTGCTCTACCAACTGAGCCAGCCAGGCGTCCCATTCAGACTCCTTATTATATGACACCCTGAAGCCCTTCCATGGGCCTCCTGTTAACCCAAGCAACAATCTTAACATTAGGTAAGGCCTGAACACACCACTTCCAGAGCTGACTGCGGATGCACACGCAGGGGCAGAGCTAGGTTTTGTGTGGCTTGGAGCCCGGGCAATTTGGTATGTGTGGGGGAGGTGCATCTTAAGAGAAAGACTAGAACATGATGAATGCAAACTAGACGTATAAGAAGGACCTGGCAAGTGGGGGACCCAAAGTCAGCTTCCCACCTGCTGCAGCTTGTTCACGTGTGAGACAGCAGAGCTGCGGGACGCGTGGGTGGTGCAGTCAGTTAAGTGTCTGACTCTTGATTTTTAGCTCATGATCTCAGGGTTGTGGAACTGAGTGAGCCCCGTGTCCGGCTCTGCAAAGGGTCTGCTTGAGATTCTCTCTCAGCCCCTCCCCCTACTCATGCAGGCACACACTTGCATGCTTTTTGTCTCAAATAAATAAGTCTAAAAAAAGAGAAAGAAATGATAGAGCTACAAGGTGATCTTTTGGTAGCGGTGTTTGTAGTTACAAGAGACTGTGGGAAATGCCAACGAAGAGGGAAGAATGGAATGAATTATAGTGTGTCTCTGTTGTGGAATACTATGCAAGCTGTGGGAAAGAGTGGGGGTTCTCTTTATGCACAGACATGGAGAGATGTCCACAAGGTATTGCTAAGTAAAAAAAAATATATATATATATAGTGATGTATTATGCCTCCTTTGTGTGAAAGAAAGGGGAAAGTAATGTACATTTAGATCTTCTTGTATCTGAATAATGAGCCTCTGGGAGGTTCTTTTTTTTTAAGATTTTATTTATTTATTCATGAGAGACACACAGAAAGAGGCAGAGACAGAGGCAGAAGGAGAAGCAGGCTCCTTGCAGGGAGCCCGATGTGGGACTCAATCCCAGGACCCAGGGGTCACACCCTGAGCTGAAGGCAGACACTCAACCACTGAGCCACCCAGGGGTCCCTGGAAGGTTCTTAAGTACACTGCATGTGTGTACAAAGGAGACTATACTTTTTTTTTTTGAAATGTGACCTTATCTATCTATTGCAAATAAACGGGGGGACTACAAAATCACCGCCTGCTCGACACAGCCCTGTGTCCCCCTCTAGGCTCCAAGTGCTCCTCTCCTTGTTGGCACTTCTGCTGCTTCTGCTGGGGGGAAGCTCGCTGCTGGCCTGGAGGATGATTCGCAGACACAGACGGGTCAAAGGTGAGTCAGCTCCCTGCCAGGTGCAGGGTGGGCGGGCACAGTCTCTCATTTTCGAGGCTCTGTGTCCTTGTTCCCCAGAATGGGCATCAAATGTGTACCCTCAGACCGCACACCCTGGGTGACCCCAGAGGCCAGACCCCAGAGGAAGTGTCCCTGCTATGGTGGATGCAGGCTGTGGGAGGCGGCTCCCTGGAGGATTGTCTGTGAAGCCATCACCCTCTTCTGTTTAGAACCTCCCACACCTTCACAAGTCCAGGTCTCTCCACAATCGGTCCTGCCCACCCCCTGCCCACACTCTGGAGGGCAGCTGTGCCCGACTTCCTACAACTTGGTAGCAGCTATGACATCAGTCTCTCCTGCGTTTGCTCTAGGTCCCTGGAGCACCTTCTCTGCTTCCTTTTGCTGGCTCAGTCCTGGTGGGCCTCCAAGGCCCTCAGACTTCTTTTCCTCTGGCTCCTTCTCCTGGCTCCCCAAACGTAACTGGGGGTCCCTCCTGGCTGCACCTCTGTACATGCACCATCATGCCCCTTTCACCACCGATTCTCCCCACCTGCTTCCTTGCCGGTCTCCCCACCAGCCTTTGCTACTCTTCATGGTCAGGGGCCATAACCTGAAAAACCACAGAGTCAGTGTTTGTTAACCTATCTTTACTATCTCCAGCTACAAGGGCACCTCAGAAGCTTTGGGCATCCTGGTGCCCACTTGCTCTCCTCTGGGCTCAGATTAAAAGAGAGAACACATGGGACACCCGGGTGGCTCAGGGGTTGAGCGTCTGCCTTCAGCTCAGGGTGTGATCCCGGGGTCCTGGGATCGAGTCCCACGTCGGGCTCCCTGCATGGAGCCTGCTTCTCCCTCTGCTTGTGTCTCTGCCTCTCTCCATGTCTGTCATGATTAAATAAATAAAATCTTAAAAAGAGAGAGAGAGAGAGAGAACACTTGTGATGCACCCAGCACTCTGTCTGGCTCTCAATAAATAAGCACTCAATAAACTCAAAGGGCTCATGAAATAAAGCAAGGCACAGAAAGAAACAGATGTGACCGTCTTGTTGCTGGCTGGGGGCCCAGCTGTCACCCAAAGGAGCGCAGATTTCTTTCCCAGATGGCATGTGAGCCTTACATTTCCTTCTCGACTCTAAAACGCCTTGACTCCATGACTCAGGGGCATCTGTGGTGCGTGCAGCGCAGACGCAGTGCTCCGGGAGCCTGGCTGAGCTAAGGGCCGGGGAGGCGCCCCCTCCGCCCCACACCCCTCCCCACCGTGGAGGCCTGTAGACGCACAGTCAGCCCTAGCATGTGTGTGCCTGAAGCAGGGAAGGAAAACCACTTCCTCTTCCCCGGCTGCTTGTCCCACATCACTTCCGAGTGCCCTCTCCTGACTCGGACCCATGCGTGGTGACCTCCCGCGGAGACTTTCTCAGCCCTGATTGCCTCAGACTTGTGGGTTCTAGCCCTCTCTGCCCTTTCACCCAGAGAGCCTCCTTCTACAAAAGGGACATAGGATGGTTGTAGAGCATTCAAAACATAAGTAAAAGCACAAAGAAGGAAAACATCCCCCGTAATGAATAAGGAAGGAAACATCCTATAATAAATAAGAAATGCAGAGAAAACCAGCCGCTGACATTTGAGGTGTGTCCTTCCAGCTGCTTTTCTTTCTTTCTTTCTTTCTTTCTTTCTTTCTTTCTTTCTTTCTTTCTTTCTTTCTTCTTCATCTTTTTTCTTCTTTCTTTTTCCCCTTAAAATAAGTTTATTTAAGTACAAAGTGAGTTGAAGAAAAATAGAAGCGCCTTGGGTTTTTTTAAATTAAATTTATTTGCACACATGTGGGGGAGGGCAGAGGGGAGGGACTCCTCAAGCAGACTCCCCAGATGATGCACCGAGCCCGACTGGGGGGGGGAGGGGAATCCCATGACCCTGAGACCCTGACCTGAGCCAAAATAGAGAGTCAGATGCATTCAACGGATGGAGCCACCCAGGGGCCCCCTCAGATGTTTTTCAGTGTTTATTTATGCAGATACGATTTCTCCCTTATGGTTTGCTTCAGACCACAATCTCTCTTTTACAGCTTTTTTTTCCCATTTAACCTATTATCATTTCTGTTGCTGCTGTGAAATGTTCTAGAAGTCTCTTACTGCAGAGTTTAACAGTATGTGTGTGTGTGTGTGCGTGGGGAGGGAATTACACCTGGCTTCACTGCTCCTCTGGAACAGGAGAAAAGGCTTCTGTTCAAGTATCTTGACTCTCGGCCTCATCCCTGCAAGTCTCAGCCCCTGTCCCCTCATGGTCCCTGCCTCTCTTCCACAGCCTGCCGCCTGCCCTGTCACACCTGCTGGCGGTTGCTTCACCTCACCTTGCTGTCCTGAGCACCTGCTGTGATGCCAGGCTCTGCGGGGCTCTAGGGGACATGGGTGTGACCAGGGGAGACGGGCCTCCACCTCCCGCGTGCTTCCTGTCAAGCTGGCTACTGTCCAGCTGGTTCACTGCCACGTTCCCTCCCAAGAGAGGTCCCCCCGTCTCTTCCCCACCATCCTTATCCCTCCGTGGCGCCAGGTGGCCGGTCCCTAACACTTCCCAGGAATGCGTCCCCTGAGGGTCCATGTGTCTCACCTTCGACTTTGGGGCTCTCGGAGGGTCGGGCAGTGTCTCCCCCTGGTGCACGGAGTGAGGTGGGCTCTGGGGGTGGCCTGGCCATGCAGGTATACCAAAGGCATTCTGGCTCTGTGTGCACCCCCATGGCCCACCAGCTCCTGGGTCCCTGGGTGGCAGGGGCCAGGGATGTGCAGAGCCTGACCCTGGGGTAGGACTCCTGCAGAGCCACGCTGCAGGTGCCGGAAGCCTGAGGCTGTGTGCCCTGAGCCGTGACCCCCTTGGAGTCACGGGACCCTCCTGTGTGTGAGGGACAGCACTGCCCGCCCCCCAGGCCAAGGAGTACAACAGATGACCCCTGTGACCTCTCCTGGTTTGCTGCAGTTCTATGTCTCCCAAAGGACATAGAACTTATTTTTTAATTAGAAAAAAAATTTTTTTTACATTTATTTATTCATGAGAGACAGAGAGAGAGACAAGCAGAGACACAGGCAGAGGGAGAAGCACGCTCCCTGTGGGGACCCCAATGTGGGACTCGATCCCAGGACCCCAGGATCACGCCCTGAGCCAAAGGCTGATGCTCAACCGCTGAGCCACCCAAGCATCCCTAAAAAAATTTTAGGGCTTTCTAAAACCTATCCCCAGCAGTTCTGACTCCATACATCTGGGGTAGGGCCTTTGGTTCTGCTATTTTTGTTTATTGTGGTAAAAAGCACCTACCATGAAATTTGCCATCTTAACCATTCTTAAGCTTACAGTTTGGTGATGTTAAGCGTTTTCATGTTTTTGTGAAAGAGATCTCCAGAACTGTTTCATCCTGCCAACAGGTGTCCCTAAACAGATACCCTTTACCTGTCTTCTCCCACCTGGGAACATTCTTCGAGTGACTGTTTTGAGAATTAGCTTCGTTTGGCCACTTTCCCCAAGCCGGTGCCTTCCCGCTGGTTCATTTCTTCACACCTCCACTCACTCATTCATTCGTCTTTTCCCTCTTCAACCGATTCACTCTTTCCCAAAGCCTTGAACTCCTCCCCTGTGGCAGACCCCAAGTGGCAGGTCCCCAGGGCCAAAGTCTCTAGGGAAATTATTCCTCCCGATGGCTCATAGGGATCCCCATTCCTCCCTTGTTCTGGGATTCAAACTGCCAACTCTTCTCTTGTCTCTTTAGCTGGTGAGAATTCAGAGCCACTCCGGACCCCTGGTCAGGTAAGACGGGCTGGAGGTGTGCCGAGGTGGCTGGAGCTTCAACAATCCCACTGCCAGTGGAGGGCTGAGTGCATTATCGATGGATAGAGTGGGGTGCTCACCCAGAGCAGAGAGAATGATCCCCGGAAGATCTGGTCATTGGGTCCTCTCTGGAGCTCTGGCCATAGAAAGTGGAATGAGGGAGAGTCCTTCGATGCTGACGTGGGGGGGGCATTCAAATACTGCCCAGAGAAGACCAGAGCGGGGGAAGGAGGAGGCAGGTGGGGAGGCTGGGGTACCCAGAGCATCGAGGGAGTAGGGGAGATGTCCGCACACAGGCAAGAACAGAGGCTCCTCTGGGCTGGACCGTGGAGGGGCTCCGTGGACTCCCACCAAGGCCCCCCATCTCTTGCCCACCCAGGCTACTCAGCAAGGGGAGCTCTGCTATGCGAATCTGGAGCTGCCAACGTGGCCACTTCAGGCAGAGCCTGTGCAATCAAGGCAGGAGGAGGTGGAATATAGCACAGTGGTGAGTACCAGGGCCTGGCTCCCACATGGGGGTCCTGGGCTCTGCTAGAGGCACCACCCTGGGGTGGCAGGGGGCAGAGAGGGAAATGACGGGCCGGCGTGGTGATCTTGTGCCCCCTCCAGCACAGGGCCACACAGAAGGTGTCGATCCTGCCAGAGCTTGGTGTCATTGTAGCTGGGGTGGGAGATGAAGGGGCTATCGAGGTGGCTAGTGATGCTCAACAGTCAGTAAAGCATTGCATTTATTAAGCACCCACTGTATACCACGTGTAAGTGTTAACGCCTGAGATTTCCCACTGTTTTGGTACCATCATTTCTTGGGTATCAACTCTGCTTTTCAGATTTTTAATCAACGAGCCCCTGTAGGTCAACCCTTAGGCATCGTGACTATAAAGCAGAAAATGGAAGAAGCTCCCCTCCCACACCCACCCTGGGGTCAGGACCCACCTGCTAGTGAAAGAGTTCAGGGAGACTTTCGGGGGCTAGTTGTTGGAGAAGATGAAGGGGAGATATGCGGCAGACATGTGGCCCTGAGACTAGTAACATCCTTGTTTTTCTAACTTGGTGATTAATGATCTCAGAGCAGATCCCAGGTACCACCCCCCAGCCCCATCCCTGGGTCTGATGCCTGGGACTTTGTGCTGTGTTTTCACAGGTAGAGTGAAGCAGGGGTGTGGGAGGGACAGTAGGAGAGGATGCATCCCCATTTGCACTGTGAAGATTCCGCCACATCCCCCTCAGGTGACCCCCATCTCCATCCTGAGCTGGGGGCCCATGCCTCCCCCATCTTTCCCTGAACCTTCCATCTCTCTCTCTCAGCAGAAGGCTTCCAGGGAAGAACCCTACTACTCATCTGTGGTGTTTGACTTCCAGAGTGAGGATTCTAAGGCCAACAGGATTCGCTCCCAGAGGACCCTGGAGCAGGAGACACAGTACAGCGTGATCAAGAACACATAAGTCTGTGTCACCAGCCCCACCATCTGGAGGTCTCTGTGGGCCACAGAAGCCCAGGGACAGCCCCCATAGCCCTCACCCACATCCCACTCAGCCTGCTCCCCTGGACGGTCATCAACAAGGCAGCTGGGCGCCATCAGCCTGGCTGGCTTCACTGACAATGAGTGGGAATGGGATTCCAGTGGGGTCCCGCAAGGAACCCTCCATCCCACCAGTTCTTGTCACATCCTTCCTCTCTTCTCTGCTTCCTTCCAGCTAGCTGTGTGTGGAGAGTGGGAGCTCAGTCCCATGTGGCTCTGAGAAAAGACGTGGCTCCCATAGGATAGTATCTCTAAATACCTTTATAAATCACAGCTCCATGGAAGTGCCTGGGATCACTGCGGCATGGGGACAACTGGCGGAGAGCTCGGGAGAATACAAAGGCCCTGAAGATGGAGTCTCCCTTGTCTCATGGACAAGGATCCTGAAGCACAGAGAGAGCAGAGTCTTGTCCATACCTCCAGACCCAGTGGCACATTTCTCTAGACTCTTTTTTTTTCTTTTTTTTTTCTCTAGACTCTTAATCTTATTTTTAATGTTAAGACATATCAAGACAGTTTGAAATATCTTGAGAGAAGAAAAAAGTTATTTAAGCCATGCTTGCTATGTGTCTGCAATCCTGTATTAAAGAAAACTCCTCCCTTTTGAAGGCTGAATAGTATCCCATTGTGAGGATATATCACCCTATGCTTATCCTTTCATCCTATGCTTATCCTTTCATCCATCGATGGACACTTGGTTGGTTTTCATGTTTTAACGATTGTGAATATGTTGCTATAAACATGGTATTTAACTATCTCTTTGAAACCCTGCTTTCCATTCTTTTTAGGTATATACACAGAAGTAGAGCTGCTGAATCATTAGATAAATCTATTTTTAAGCTTTTGGGGAACTGTCATCCTTTTTTCTACAACAGCTACATCATTTTACATTCCCACCTGCAGGCTACAAGGGTTCCAATTTCCCCACATCCTCTCCAACACTTGTTTTTCTGTTTCTTTGTTTTGATAGTAGCCACCCTAATGGATGTGAGGTGGTATCTCATTGTAATTTTGATTGGCATTCCCTAATCTTTTCCTGTGCTTTTTTTTTGTGTGTGTCTTTTTTTGAAACATATTTATTCAAGTCCTTTGTCTAGTTTTTAAAAATGTATATTTTAAAATTTAAATTAAATTAATTAACATACTGTATTATTAGTTTCAGAGGTAGCGATCACTGATTCTTCAGTCTTACATAATACCCAATGCTCATTACATCACATGACTTTGTTCAGTTTTGAAATGAGTTTTTTTGTTGTTGAATATTGGTTGTCCATATATTCTGGATATTAAGCCCTTATCAGATACATAATTTGAAATTATTTTCTCTCATTCTGTAGATTGCCTTTTTACTCTGTTGATAGCATTTTTGATGCACAAAACTTTAATTTTCTTGCTGTCTCATTTGTCAATTATTTCTTTTGTTGCTTCTGATCTTTGGGTCAGATCCAAAAAAATCATTTCTGAATTCAATGTTGTAAAGCTTTTGACCTATGTTTACTTCTAAGAGTTTTATAAATTATGTCCTATATTTAAGCCTTTGATCCATTTTGAGTTTGTTTTTGTATATGCTGTTAGGTAAGAGACCAATTTAATTCTTTTGCATGTGGACATCCAGTTTGTCTAGCAATGTTTATTGAAGCAACGTCCTTTCCCCCTTTGAATGGCCTTGACCTCCTTGTTGAAAATAATTTGGCCACACATATGAGGGTTAATTTCTGGATTCTATTTTACTCCATTGGTCTCTATGCTTGACTTCATGTCAGCATAACTGTCTTTTTTTTTTTAAAGATTTATTTATTTATTTTAGAGAGAGAGAGAGAGAGCGTGTGTGCAGGGCGGATGGGCAGAAGGAGAGAGAGAGAGAGAAAGAGAATCTCAAGCAGACTTCTCACTGAGTGTGGAGCCTGACACAGGGCTCTATCCTAGGACCCTAAGATCATGACCTGAGGGGAAACCAAGAGTCCAACCAGGTGCCCCAGAATCACCATCTTTTAATTACTATGGTTTTGTAGTTAAATTTTGGAACCAGAAATGTGGGCCCTCTTTTTTTTTCCCCAGTTCTTCTTCAAGATTGTTTTTCCTATTCCATGAGGTCCTATAAGATTCTGTATAAATTTTAGGATGGGTTTTTCTATATCTACAAAAAATGTCATTGGGATTTTGATAAGTATTGTATTGAATCTGTAGATCACTTTTAGTAGTACTGACATCTTTTTAAAAAGATTTTATTTATTTATTTAACAGAGAATGAGAGAGAGAGCATGAGAAGGCAGAGGAAGAGGGAGAAACAGTCTTCCTACTGAGTAGAGAGCCCAACACAGGGCTCAGTCCCAGGACCTTGGGATCATGACCTCAGCCGAAGGCAGACCCTAATTGACTGATCCATTAAGACACCCCCGTATTAACATCTTAAGTTTTGACATCTTAACAATATTTAACTTTCCAATCCATGAACATGGAATATCTTTTCATTTATTTGTGTCTTTTTAAATTTCTTGTTTTGTAGTTTTGTAGTTCCATAGTTTTCATGGTACAAGTCTTCTACTTTCTTGGTTTAATTAATTCCTAAGTATTTTACTCTTTTTGATTTTACTGTCAGCGGAACTGCTTTCATAATTTCTAGATTGTTCATTGTTAATGTGTAGAAATGCAACTGATTTTTGTGTGTTGGCTTTGTATCTTGTTACTTTGCTGAATTCATTCATTAGTTCTAACTTTTTTTCTCTTTTGGTGGAACCTTGAGGGTTTTCTACATGGAAGAGCAGATCATCATCAAACAGAGATAATTTTACCTCTTTCTATCCAATTTGGATGCCTTTTATTTATTTTTCTTGCCTAATTGCTCTGCCAGAACTTTCAGTTCTAAGCTGAATAGAAGAAGCACAAGTGGGTATCCTTGCCTTGTTCCTGACCTTAGAGGAAAAGCCATTAGACTTTCACAATTGAGTATGATGTGGACTTTTCATACATGGTTTTTTATTATGTTGAAGTAGTTTGTTTCTATTCCCAGTTTGTTAGTATTTTTGATCATGAAAGAGTGTTGGATTTTGCCAAATGCTTTCCTGCATAAATTGAAATGATCATTTTTTCCTTCTTCATTCTATTCATGTAGTGTGTTACATTGATCAGCCTTTCCATTGAAACATTTTTGCATCCCCGAAATAAATCCCACTTGGTCATAGTGTGTAATCCTTTTACCATTTTGCTGAATTCAGTTTATTAGTATTTTGTTGAAGACTTTTTTGTATCAATGTTCATAAGGGATATTGGACTATAGTATTTTTTTTCTTTCAGTGTTTTGGCTGGATTTGGTATCAGGATGATACTGATCTCATACAAGGATTCTGGAAATGATGCTTCTTTTTCTGGGTTTTGGAAGAGTGTAGGAAGGATTGGTATTCATTCTCCTTTAAATATTTGGTAGAATTAGCCTGGGAAGCCATCTGGTTCTAGGCTTATCTCATCAGGATATTTTCAGTTACTAAGTCAGTTTCCTTATTTTGTTATTAGTCTGTTCAGATTTTCTCTTCTTCTTTCTTCTTCTTCTTCTTCTTCTTCTTCTTCTTCTTCTTCTTCTTCTTCTTCTTCTTTTCTCTTAGAGAGAGAGAGAGAGAGAGAGAGAGAGAGCATGCAAGTAGGGGGAGGGATCCAGTGAGAGAGAAAGAGAGAATCTCAAGCCAACTCTCTGCTGAGGGCAGAGCTCACTGTGGGGCTCAGTCTCACAACCCTGAGATCATGACTTGAGCTGAAATCAAGAGTTGGACGCTTAACTGGCTGAACCACCCAGGTGCCCCAAGACTTTCTTTTTTTTTCTTTTAAGATTTTATTTATTTATTCCTGAGAGAGAGAGAGAGAGAGAGAGAGAGAGAGAGAGAGAGAGAGGCAGAGACACAGGCAGAGGGAGAAGCAGGCTCCATGAAGGGAGCCTGACTTGGGACTTGATCCTAGGTCTCCAGGATCATGCCCTGGGCTGAAGGTGGCGCTAAACCGCTGAGCCACCTGGGCTGCCCCACGACTTTCTTTTTCTTGACTCAGTGTTGCTAGGGTCTAGGAATTTACCCATTTCACCTAGGTTACCTATTTAGTTGATGTATAGCTGTTCATAACAGTCTCTTGTAAATCTGTTCCTATGGAATCAGCAGCCATGCTCTCACTTTCAATTCCAATTCTGGTAATTTCAGTTTTTCTGTGTGTGTGTGTGTGTGTGTGTGTGTGTGTGTGCGTGTTTTGTCTATCTAGGCAAAATTTTGTCAGTTTTGTTGATTTTTTTTGAAGAAACAGGTTTTGATTTCATTTGTTTTCTGGGTAACCCCCCTCCATTCTCTATCTTGTTTATCTTTGCTCTAATCTTGTTTCCCTCCTTCTACTAGCTTTTGAGTTGTTTTGTTCTTTCTTTTTTTTCTTTTTTCTTTTTTTTTAGTTTCCTAAATTATAAAAGTTAGGTTTTTAATTTGAGATCGTTCTCATTTTTTAACATAAGCCTTTATATCCATAAATCTCTCTGTTGGCACTGCTTTTTCTCTGTCTCATGTTTAGTATGTTGCATTTTTGTTGTCATTTGTGTACAAGTACTTCTAATGCCTTCTTTGTTTTTTTATTTTTTATTTTTTTCTTTTTTTTAATTAAAGATTTTTATTTATTTATTCATGAGAGAGAGAGAGAGAGAGAGAGAGAGAGAGAGAGAGAGAGAGAGGCAGAGACACAGGCAGAGGGAGAAGCAGGCTCCATGCAGGGAGCCTGACGTGGAACTGGATCCTGGTTCTCCAGGATCAGGCCCTGGACTGAAGGTGGCGCTAAACCACTGAGCCACCAGGCTGCCCCTAATGCCTTCTTTGATTCGCTGGTTTTGTAAGAAGGTGTTGTTCAGTTGCTACAGATTTGTGAATTTTCAGGGTTTACTTCTGTAGTGATATATTTCTGTTATTGACTTCTAACCTCATCCCATAATGGAGAAAATACTTTGTATGATATCTATTTTAAAAATCTACTGAGATGTAGTCTATGGCCTCAC